TTCTACTTTCGCCCGCTGACAGGTGAGCTTCCTTAGTTCCCTTGCCCCCAAGATGGCCAGAGTGACGACTCGCGTGCTGGGCCGTCCTAACAGAAACAAATGATTTTTCAGCCACTGCTCCTTATCCCGCATTCAGCCGCCTTCTTTCAATCTTGCCGATACTACACACTTCGCGTGCCATTGGTTGATCCTTTTGCACTTGAGATAGTGATGATTGTGATTGGACCCACACGGTGGACCGCACTGCCGCACCTGGCCTAAATCTGTGTCGTAGGAGTGTCTGTTTGTGTAGCCAGCGATAAACAGAACTGTCAGCTGATTATATCGCCGGCTGACCCGGCTCAATAAATTTACTGAAGTGTAAAGAAGAATTGCAGCCAACATTACCTCTATTTACCTCTTCAATTAGCACAATACGCTAATCTTGGTGGGGTTTAATGATTTAAACCGATGGAATTGCATGATAGAGGGGTGGTCTCCCGCCCAAACCCTCTCCCTCTACGGTGGGATGTTTTTGTAGGGACTCTCTACTCAATAAAAGGTCATAGACGCTTTTCGGTATTTTGGTCGTGTACATGTGGGCGCAAACGCGCATGTGCAATGTTTCAACACTTGTCTCCACTGTCAATCTTAGCGTTTATCCTGACCCCGATCTCTCTGAAGCTTTGCACAGGACTCCCATTTTATTCCCGTGCCCTACCGATTTTAAGATTTATCTCAAAAAGACACTTTAACTATCTTGAAAATATGGTAAGGGTAGCTTTTTTAAGCCCCTAGGCTTGAAGTATATAGTTTGGACGGGTCTAGTCTATTAGTTCGTTGTTACAGGAGGTAACCTGTTGTGTGTTAACTACGGCGTTCATATAACGACATACCCAAAGTTGCAAAAATTCCCATCAAAGGCTTCAGGAGAGTATTTGGCGATTGTGTCTTTACCTTCGATAAATTCCCTTCAGGCCAATACATTTATATGGGAGGGTTAAAATTAAACAAGCGATCGATAATCTTCGTATTTTCTTACAAGTGGGAGCCAACCAGAGCGCGGATTTGTGCATGCCGCTAAGTGACTGTGGGCCACGCCGGCTGTGGAGTTTGCACGAAGTTCTTTTGCGCACACATGGTCGGTTTCATCAACCTGATAGCGGGCGCTTCTGCTGTTGCTAACAGGCGCTGACCCAGGCACTTTGGATAATTTGGTGGGACCTTGTAGATCATTCGGAAATCTTCGTTGGGAACCCCCCTATGTCCGGAATCACCCATGTGTGACAGAATAAAGCTGTTTATGCTCTTGACTTCGCCTTTGCTTAGTCATGCCGAACCGTCATATATTGGACAAGAACCTGCATGAAGTATGGTTCATTCTTGTTGAGAGAACAGGATAGATGTAGCACGTTAGAAATTGAGACAAGTGTTTGTTAATCCACTGCCCCTTACCTCGCACTCAGCCGCCTTGTTTCAGTTTTACCGATATTAAACATTTCCGGTGTCATTGGTTGATCCTTTTGCACTTGTGGTAGGGTTGATTGTGATTGAATCAACTGTCGCGCCTGACCTAAGTATGTTTCGGATGGGAGTGTTTAGCAAGCGATAAACAAAAATATCAGCCGATTATTTCGCCGGCTAACTGGGCTCCATACATTTACTAAAGCGAGGAGAAGGACTGCATCCAATACTACGTTTGTCACCCTCTTTGACTAACACAGTAGGCTGACCGTTGTTGGATTAAATGATTATGGGATCGCACGAAATAAGGGTGGTTGCATTTTCACCTCCTCCTCCTCATCCTCTAATGCGGAATGTCGCTCGTGTGCATGGTGTCCCAAAGAAGTGTGTAATGTTTCCACACTGCTTATCCAAATGTTTACCCTGACCCTTTATCTCCCTGAATCTTTGCACAGGACCGTCTCTCCAAGGGGTCCTTCCTATTCCAGTAGGATAAAAGAAGACCCAATAGAGCCCAAATGGACACAATCTTGTACTTTATATAAAAGCTTTGTAATCTCGATAAAGTTGATATACAGCTAATATATAGATTATATGGAGTCGCGGAGTGTCTCCACGTGGGCAGTATTGGACCATTTTAATTGTACCGCGCAAATAAGATGTAGTGAACTATAGACTAAACTTGTACCGTTTCATGTAATGTAAATAGGTATATATGGGGAATGTAATATACTTTAACTGTTCATGTCTGCCTTTTCCAGTGAGCGATGTTCATTTTGACACCACCTAAATCTAACACCCCAGTGTAGTCTTAGGGTACTCTGGAAGTTACTAAATACAAAAGTTATAGGATGCCTACTGGCCAGGAGTTTAGTTGTGGCTGAGATGTGCACTTCAAAACACCCTCTTAACTCTCCCTTTAAACGTCTGTCACGTGTCGACGGCAAGACGAAATCAAGACGTCTGGAGATTCATAAGGACACAGTGCTTAAATCGTCTCACACACGTCTCCGTTAAACACTAACAATACGTAAACGAGGGTCACTGATTTGTTAGGAATTAAAACTATTATGATAAAAACTGCATAATCCACTTCCATTGCCTAAATGTATGAGAAATATGTGACCATTTTCTCAGAGCGTAGAGAATTGTATGGTTTTCCTTAGACATAATTTGTATAGCCTGTAACTTGGAAACCTCGCATTCAAGTCTGACGGCCACTCAGGTTGAACATTATGAAGCAATTTATAAAAGGGTTTTAACGCCGAAAGACAACCCTTCTTCAAGTATACAATTTAAAGGAGAAGTAATTTGCTAAGCATTGAAAACAAATATAATATTTTCTGCACATATGTGCATTTTAATGACGTCAAAAACCATTGCGAAGAATGCATACAACATTAGAAGTCATTTTTCACAGAGTATGCGCTTTCTGCGGACACTCAGAAGGAAGCTCCTTCAGAAGATGGCATCCTGAAATTACTGATTTTAGGCTGAACGGTAATCAATATTACAACTCTAGTTACTTGACTCTTTTGAACTGAAAACAAATTTCGGGTTTTCGGTTCACATTTCATGACATAAAAAACCTACTTCAGGGCTCGATTTTAGACCAAATTACTATTTTGACGGTGAACCTGTTGGCTCAATTCAAACATAATTTTGCAGCAGGTTCACTCAAAGATGAATTTGGATAATCCAACTGAGACGTATGTAAATAGGCAGATAATGGGTATGGAAGAGACTTTAACTGTTCATGTCTGCTATTGCCAGTTCTCCCCAGCGTGCTGCAGCTGCGGCTGCTGGTGCCGCGGCAACGCAACTGATTGGCGAGCGACACAGGTTCAAAGTTCAGAAGGTCATCTGCATTCTGCACTACTTCTCCCGTGTGCTCGCTGAGGAAGGCACGCCCACGGGTGCAGTCACCTTTTCTCGCCGCTGTCTCCACCATCCGCCGGACTTTGAATCAAGTGCTGTCCTGATTGGTTCCGTCCCGCTCGGCACTAGCTCCACGAGTCGTATTGAGGATGCCGGAAGCGACTGTTTGCAGGCGAGTATAACTGAAAATGGCTAGAAGTATATGACTGACAGGCTAGCATGCCTGATCAGACTGTTCTTGCGTGGCCAAACTATTGATTTGAATGTATGCATGTTTGAACTGTATCGACGACGATAAGTGACCCCGATTAGGGGGTACGCATAGCTGCGGCTTACGTCAGCGATCCCCTCGTCCCTCAAATGCTCTAGAGGATTTTTGGCGCTCGAATTTTCCCTGGAGTCAACAATGTTTCAGGTTACTTTAATTTTTCCCAATACGTACATTTTATCCCTAATTGAATCGATGCACTGTCCAAAATAATTTACAAATGCGAGTGTTTAGGCATACGTAAACGTTTCGGATTAAACCTGCGTGTGAATAAATTTCAAACGCCACCCCAAGTTTTTTCAAAATTTAACTTTTCGCATAGTACCTTCTGAAGACTGCCACTCGCTCTGCTAAAAAGTTGAAAATACAAATCGCCCTAAGATATGCTTTATTGTTGCTTGGTGGCAATGATAAATGTTTTGATGATCAGAAACCTTATTGGAATTAGGAAGTTCTTAATAGGCACCTAGATTGTTTATATTAAGCCGCTAATTTTTTAGCCGTTTTATTCACTTTAAATTTAGTTATCAGCTATTGTTAGCTCATTTTAAAAAGTAATTATCCGTGCTGTTATCGACCAGGGGATAAGTTAACTACTCACATTACGATAGAAGCAAACAGGCCAGGCCCAGTAAGTAGTTTAAAAAGAAAGGAGATGCGATCGCTAGAACAATACGTGTATTGGATTGATATTTCGGACGCTGGCCTGAACACATCGTCAGAGACAACCACCGAAAAGGATGATAAAGACACAAGTTGCACATTATTTATCGTCGGTAGCGGCCACGCGAGCACATGTAATTTAAAATTCGCAGTTCTCGCGATCACCGTTTGGGGTCGTGATCCATATGATAGTGGCTTTGCAGTCAGAGTCGGAGGGCCGAAAGACCCGCTGTCACGGCAGGAAACGGCTGAAGTAGTTTACTAGATTTGGTGCAGTTTTAGACAAAGTAACTACGTCGGATAAATCTGATGATTACTCTTGACGTGAATGACTGAGCACGCAGCAGCCGCAAAGAAAGGTGTTAGCCGTCATGTCGCAGCCTTCTTGACGGGACCCGGCCATACTATCAAACAAGAACTTTAGTAGCCTGACATTTCGGATTTTCTCTCGAAACCATCATCACAGACAGTTGC